TAATTTCTTTAATTATATTACGAAAGTAGACATTGTGACGAATCTAATGATATATTATATAATAACATTTATTTATTTTATGACAACAAAAAAATTAAGCCAAATATGACATGTGAATAGTGCAAAAGTCAAAGTGATGGATTTAAAAAAAACGGAGGGAGTAAAATATTATCTTTTTATATTACGAATTTTATCTAAATGTGAGAACCAAATTTAATAATTCATTTATAATAAAAAAATTCAAGTAGTAAGTAAGCGGATATCACAAAGTTTATTTGATAAATATATGTTTAGTAAATTATTTTATTTGAAAAAATACAAACAAACCCTACATCATATAGTAATAACTCATAATTGGAATTAATATGAGAAGACTCCTTGGATTATTCATATGATTTTTTTTTAAAAAAAATACGCCCGGAGGAAAACATCAATTTCTCGGTTTCTCTCTCCTTCGTCAAGCGTCAGAGTCAGTCTTGCTGAGGAAACTACTACTTTTTGTGAGTTTTTCTCTCCTTTTACAATTACTCTGTTTTAAGTTTTCGAATATATAGTATATTTAATTTTACGTTTGATGAAATTTTTAGTGTATAATTATCAATTAAATGTATTCTTCCTAATTTTGTCAACAATTTAATTTCCCAGGTGCTAAATTGTGAATTTGTGAGTGTTGAAATTCTAGGCATGTTCAATTTTTTTACTTTTTAAAGATGAATATGTTGGAATTTTGAACTTGTAACAGTGGGATTTTTCTGGGTTTTGAGTGATGTGGATTTGAACGAAGTACCCACTCTAGTTAGTGATCAAATAGGTAATGGGGTGAAAATTGAGGGAATAAATGTGGAAAATTTTGATGGTGTAGTTGATAAGGAGTCAGAAGAATCTAGAATCAAGTCTATTGAACAAGAACAAAGATGTAGGGAGGTAGAAGAGAAGCAATTAGCACTCGAATTAGAAATTCGAAACAAAGGTATGAACTTGGAAGAAATTAAGGGTAAAATTAGGATTTTGGAACGTGAAAAATTGAGAGTTGAAGAGGAAATCAAGGCTTTGAAGGTGAAGAAGGTCGGTCTTGTTGGAGCGAATGTGGGTGGTGAGTTTTCGTCGGATGAGAGGGAGATGGATGATGAGGATGTGTCTAGGGTTAGTCAATCGATGGTTGAGAATAAAGTGTTGGAATGTGAGAAGAAATTTGCTCTTAAGGAAGTCGAGGTGTGGAAGCGGAAATGTGAGGAGTTGGAGTTGCGCGTGCTTGAATTGGAGGGAAGATTGAAGTGTCATGGTAAAGCTGATGTCTCTATTGGAATTAATGGAGCTAATACCGTGATTGGTGATGATGTATGTGCTTCAAGTCCTTCAAGAGACCTCGGTTCTCCATCTTGTTTACTAGGTGCAATAGAGGAAGTAACACCAATTGAAGGTATGTAATTAATTTTCCCCAATTAGATTTTGCTTCTGCATTTTTTGTTTCGTTCATTGTAGATCTAGCCTGGTTGAAGATGTTATTTCTGGCCTGAATTGTAAGATCATTTTGTTTCAAAGCCCACTATTGTGGACTGGATTTTTACCTGTCATCAGCTTTAGTACTGGACTTATGATTTACTTGTATGTTCTCTATGTACCATGCATATGTGATTATGCTATATTTGTGAACTATCCTACCATAAACTAGTCTTTGCTATCGTGTGGCTTTTTTTTTAGTGCTAAATTCTAATCGACTTTAATATAATAAGTTGTAAATGGATAGTTGAGGCTTGAAAAAAGTAAGAGTATGTATGAGTGGGGAGATAAATAATGGCCAATCAAAGCAAGTGCAACTCTAACAAAGGGAGCATATTTTTAAGTGAGATTTTGGTGCATTTTATGTTGAGCGTTTGAACTCTGAACTTTTGAAGTACTTCTTCCTTCCCTAAATAGTAGGCCACATATGATTGATGGTTATTTATGAGATTTTGGACTGAAACACCACAAGTATTCTTGTCTATAAAAGTTCTTATATTTACCAATCCCACGAGTAAGTCTTTTCTTAAGGCAAGTTGGATGTGGGTTATATTTGGTCTATATTTAAGGACAAGAAGTAGTATTATATTACTGACTTTGGTTTTCATTTGACAACATGTGAAGAAGCATTTCTCTTGCAAGTTTGATAAATTTCTCGTTCTGCTCAAGTTTGCAAATATCCTTACTTGTACTGCTGCATTCTGTAGCTGAACCGGAAACTTGTCTCTGGGGTAGTGCCATTGCACAATCATTTTTCATACTATCCTTCGAGATTTATTTTGTTAGCCTTTAGTTTGAAATGTTCCATAAGCCTTTTCTTCTCCAACTGAGCGGCTAAAAATATGTTTTTTCAAATATGTGATATGAGAGAAGGCTTAAAACATCCGTCTATCTCTGATTATTTTGTTGTTTTACTGAATGTATACTTGTCATGTCGTATAGGATCACTGGACAAGAAGTATGTACGTACTTATAGTACTTCAGCTAAGCAAATGCATGTGAAGAGACGACTTGCATTTCATAATGAGAAAAGTTGTGATAAGAAGATTGCTCCTTCAACTCCATCTACTGTTATTGATATAATTGACTGTGACAATGATGATGATGTCCCTGCTAGACCCAAAAGTGAGGGACTTCCGGGTATGATGTCGAAATATGGTGTTCAAGAAACAGACGGTGGTATTATGACCCCAAACACTAAGAGAAAGCGAGATCAGGTGGTTACAAGTGATGATGAGTGTGACAATTACAACAAACGTACACCCAACAAACGATTACTTAAATTAGAGAACTGTGACAGCGAGGGTGAAGATAAGGATGGTGACATTACACCAACAAAGCAAAGTGAAAGTGAAAATGATGATGATGATAATATTCCAATTAGTCAACTCAAGAGAAATCGTGCTCAAGGCAGTCAACCTGCTCTCCCCTTGAATCCAACTGGTCCAAAGAGATGTCTGGTCAAGTATGGACCAGGTGAACTGAGATATAAAACTCGGAATACTGAAAATAACCCTGATACCTTAACATCTGAAAATGTTGCAGATCATGAGTCATCAGAAGATGAGTCAGAAAGTAGTGTTCATAGCTTAAGTAGTTTCATCGTCGATGACTCTGATGATGAGGATGTGGAAGATGATATATCGAAAGGAGATACTGAAGATAATTCTGATGATGTTGAAGATGATGTGTCGGAAGAAGATGGTGGAGATGATTCTGATGATGATGGAGATTCATCAGATAGTAATCTTAATTATGAAGAGATAATCTCTAGATTTAAGGGCCGAAGAAAACCCAACTCAAAATGGATTTCAGAAGCTGATATGCTCTCTGACTTTGGTAAGAATCCCGAGTTGTGCATGAAAGCTGTATGTGCTATTTATCGACAGCAAACCAATGAAGAGAAGGCTTGTAAGGCAAGCATCGTCAATAATGGAAGAGGCTTTAGCAAATTCGATGCAATGAGGTAAAGTTACTGCTGTCTTTTGTTTACAAATAAGAATTGGCTTGAGAATCACACTGATCGTTTATTATATTAGCTTGTACTCAAAGCTTGTGGATGTTTGCATTTAGTTTAATTTTGTAGTTTAATTGATACGGAGTATATCTGATTAACTTTTGTTTCCTTGAGAAACTGGCTCTTTGGATTGATTTTAGATTTACTGTTTTTTACGTGGCTAGGGGAACATACTTGGGGGAATTTCTGACTGACAGAGTACCAAATGGCGACCTGGTAAAATCTGTGGCGGAATTGCAAAAGTATTATCCAAACGGAGTTGAAGAATGTCGCTCATTGGCAGACCGTTATTCTAAGCAACTGTTCAATATATATGAGAACGGAGAGGATCCTTACTTCCCATGATCTCTCTTTAAACATGGGCATGTCTTACTACTTTCTGGTGCTTCAGCTGATGAACCATCTTTAAGATCATAGTTTTTTGACTTTTGGTCTTTGCCAATCTAACCTCGTAGGAGTAAACTTAGCTTTTGGGTTACCCCGTGTAAGTCATAACGTAGGAGATTGCTGTGTATATTTGGCTAACTAATATCCCGTGTAAGTCATAGCTTTTGGTCTTTGCCAATATAATATCCCTTGTTAGTTGAAATCTATCACTGTGAAATGATTCTGCACTTGCTTATGGTATATATTCGTCCGTTGGTGTATTGTGTTTGTCAACCATGAATTGTGATATGTGAATACACAACTTACAGCTTCTAGTGTTGAAGTATGGTTGATTGTTCTCCGGCGAATGAATACACCTCTCGATCAGAGCTACTGTACTGTACGTAATTCAAAAGATGTTTGCTCCATAGGTTGATGCTGTTTGCCGTATAGGTTTAAGTAGGATGGCATTCATACAATCATACTGTTATTTGTACTCTGTTTTTTCAGACCACCTTTGATCTAATTTACTCATATTTGCCAAATTCAGAATATGAAGGTTGCTGCATTTAGAAATTAAAAACAATTATTGGATGGTTTAGGATCACCAAACCAAGTACCCCGTGGTTCCGATAAATGTGGAATAAGGAGGAAAAAAAAAGAGTCCGATGTTCCTTATTATTTTTCCTATATAAGTTACTCCCTCTGTCCCTATTTGACTTTTCACGGTCACCAAGACGCGTTAACTTCGTTTTTATATATGTAAAAATTATAAAAACTTAATATAAATAAAATATACGATGAGACGAATTTAACTAATTAATGAGAATTTATGGTCAAAATTTAAAAGTTTGACCCAATTATTTAGAATAGGGCAAAAAAATAGGTTGGAGGGAGTACGTGTAACTGTGTAAGGCGTAATTTGGTTTGATAAATGCATCAATCTCAACAAAGAACAATATAGTTTTTTTTTTCAAAAAGAAAACACATGAATATATAACCACTAAAATTAATTTAAAATCAAAACGTCAAAACCATTGATATTTCTCGTGGAAACTAAACCACTTATTTAACAGCTAACACAAAAACAACCTTGATTACTAAGATAACCATTATTTCAGTTCCCATTTTGCTGATCTTCCTCAGAGTCACAGTAACCTTGTAGAATATCCCCTTCCTCAGAAGTGAACCCAAGAGTAGCCAACATGTTAGGCCAGCAATGATGCTCAATAACTCGAATGGCAAGACAACAATTCGGGCCTAGGTACGTCTCACCTTCATAAAAGAACTGGATCACCTCTCCAGTGCACGACTGCAACTCAAACATCGAGGCCCAGCAATCGACAGACGATGATGAGCCTGGTGTTTCATGGTCAAGCTTCAACCTTTGCAACATCGAGTGAGCATTCGAGCTCGTCATGACAACATTGTTTGATGGTGGGAATGGCCTTGAGGATGTGGCAATGTTGGTAGAGCATGCTAGGAAGAGTATTAGGAGAAGATTGAATTTCGCCATTACCTTGATATATGAATGATGCTATAATATAGAGGCTATGTTATGTAGGACAAGTGCAAATATTAGCGGAAGAATGATAATTTGGTCATGTGTTATGCGTGTATTTATAATAGAGACGGGGAAGGAGGGTAACTGTTATGCGTTATGTGTGTAACTATGTTTATAACGAAGAAGTCTAACAGAATGACAAATCATAAATAATACAGGTAGATATGAAGAGACGGTAGTAATAAAAAGTTTATTTTTTAAAAAATGGATATGAAAAGATTAATGGTAGTAATTTACTCACTCAACTTTTAACACATTACCTTTACTTGGCCTAGGGCTTGATCCTTCAAGTCATTCGATCATGTCATGAAGAGACACTAGTAATAATAGACAAAAACAATAGTTGAACAACATGAAATATTTTTTAAACCCAAAGCTATGTAACTATATATTTTTTTTTTTTTTTTTTTTTGGAAGTACTGGGTTTCATTCACCGTATGTTATGTTATTTTTTTAAAAAATTTGGTTTAACTAACAATTGTATTCAAATCTCTGCCATGTTAATTTTTAATTCTTTGTCATTATATTTATTTTTCTTAAATGAGGAACACAAAGAATACCCTGTTCTTGAGTGATTGAGTGCAACAAATAAATTGAGAAATAGGTTATCTATCTAGTTAAAATTAGAAAGAAAAAACTCAACGACCCACCATTACCCTTCCCTTTTAATTTTTTTTTAATTTTTTGCAGTTAATTCCACCGTTCTTATTTCTTATCTTCTTATATAAACAACTCAATCCTAAGGTACTAAAATTTGAGTACGCCTTGACGAAAAACTTATCAAAGTTGGTTTTATACTCTTATCACTTTATAATCCTCTCTTCAAAGAAACCAGCTCGAAAAAAGACATTGAAGAAACAACTTCATTCTTACCTTGATGTTCTAAACATTTCTTGGTTAGGGTTTGTGCGTGCCCTCGTTGACTAGCTGACTAGCTACATATCTTTGGTAATTTGAAAACCAATTCAAAATCACGTTTATTAATTTTCGGTGAGGGATGAACCATAGAAAGAATTAATCAGTTAGCTAGATATAGTTCTTTATTTAGCTCCCATGTTGCAACATACTTCAATTGGAGTATCAAGGTAGCTCTAACGGACAAGGCGTTACATTGCTTGATTTGTGATTGGTGTATGTAATGATCAGTGGCGGATCTTGAAACATTTTCTATCGGGGGCCGAAATTTTTAACAAGTTCTATTATGCATCATAATTCATAGCATTTCACAAATATTAAATAAATTGAATTTAATACTTCGCATCAAGCAATTATCTCATAAATAAGGAAAAAAAACATGATAAATTTATACTCAATTGCACAATTAATTTATGCATTTATTATCATTTATGATTTGTAGTGTCTGACCTTATATATGGTATACATAGTTTTCCGTATAAAGTTTGAATTAAGTGTTAAAAGGATGGAAAAAAAATCATTTTTTTACATAACTAAAGAATTTCAATACCATATATTGAGTAAATTTTGATAACATGAATTGACAATCATTCACAATTTTTTTTTTTATCGTATAGAGACATGAAGTAAGCACTTGCAATAGTGTTGCATGCTCATAGAGATATAGAGAGGAGAGTTAGTAATAATAAAACGGTAAAAGTGGCTCACTTTATCATTATTAGTTGTCAAATTGTTAAAAGAAACTCCATCTTTTAATAATACCTACACTTCTTATTTTATACTAGTATTTAAAGCTTATGTGGTAGTTGGGTTGATTTTCTTGTTTTGGGCTTCTTTGTCATACCGTCCTATATTTTTTTTCAAAAAGCTTTCAGGGGCCACGCCCTTGGGAGCCTCACTGAAGGTAATGATCTCATATGATTTTCAAACTTATTTTCACGCAAATTTAACCTCAATAACTCATACGAAGAAATAAAATGCCCAATGTTAAAAAATAAAATTATAAAACAGTTATAAGACCTAAAACCAACCCTAGCCCTAAGCAACCTTTTAATTTGATACATTGTGAAGTTCAGCTAATTAATGTAAATCCCAAAACTTATTCTTAATTAGTCAAATATATTTATAATCGCAAACTTACTTAAAAATTATCTTTCAAAAAAAAAAAAAAAAACTTACTTAAAAATTAAGCTTTACCAAAACAACCCCTAAAAAAACCTCAATTCTTCTATAGCCGCATGAATTTAAGCATTGTGAGACCTGATCCTCAATGCAAGCTGAATATCCTTCATCATAATAGTAACGCGTTTCGCGTGAATGGCACAAAGATTAGTGTCTTCAAATAAACCAACAAGGTAAGCCTCAGATGCTTCTTGAAGGGCAAAAACAGCATGACTTTGGAAGCGCAAATCAGTCTTGAAACTTTGAGCAATTTCGCGAACTAGCCTTTGGAAAGGAAGTTTCTTGATCAATAACTCGGATGTCTTTTGATACTTTCGAACCTCACGTAGGGCAACGGTACCAGGCCTGTATCTATGTTTCTTATTGCGCGCTTCAATCTCCAAAGTAGGCCAACCAACGCACACTAATTGCTTCCAAGGGACCTTCCCCCGGTAGACTTGCGCGCAGCTTGCTATGTTCGAGCCAAGAGTAGGAATCGCGCGAGGAAGAAGAAATTAAAGAAGGTGATTAAAAGTAGACTCAAATTATGTAATCTGATTTTGGGACAAGTTAGGTGCCTGCTTTAGGGCTTATTTATAGGGAAAAAAATATACATAACTAGAAATTTAATTAGCAGCAAATCTCAGCCATCTAATTGCATCAAAGGATTAAATCACTCCACCTCAGCGATCCAAAATATTTACAAATTGTAAAAACGTACTGTAAAACATTTTACGTAGTACAACCTTAACTTCTCTTGACATAACAAAATAATTAAGAAATATTTTTTTTTAAAAAAAACCCTAACTTTATAAAGTAAAATTTGTGGAAAGAATAAATGAAATAAAAATAACTAGAAATTAAATTAGCAGCAAATCTCAGCCATCTAATAATATTGCATCAAAGGGTTAAATCACTCCACCTCATCAATCCGAAATTTTTACAAACTGAAAAAGCACAAAACATTTTACGTAGTACTTCGTATATAACTACTCATATAAATATAACCTTAACTTGGTTTCAAAAAAAAAATACCCTTAACTTTTTTTTTTTAAGAAGAAGAACCTTAACTTTTCTTCACATAATAAAATAATTAAAAAATTAAAAAAAAAAAACCCTAACTTTTTTTTTTTTAAAAAAAAAAACCTATTATTTGTGGAAAGAATTAAGGCTTTATTTGGGCCCATTACACTGATCTGCACGTTTTTTATTTAAAAAAAAAAACTTAATTGATTTACGCATGTTTTTTTTAATAAAAATTAAGTATCAATTACACTGATTAGTAGTTTTTTTTGTCATAAATTCATAAATTTTTATAAGTTTAGATAGTATATTTAGGGTGCTTCAAAAAAAAAAAAGATAGTGTATTTAGGGATGCATATAGCATTACGCTACCTAAATTATTTCACATGCATTTTCGAGTATATAAAAGAAAAGTCCACTAAACTAGTAAAAGAAAACTTTTTGGTAAGGTCATATTACATCATTCATAATAAGATCAACTATTCGACTTCATGAGAAAACATATACTTCGTCGTATATGAACTCCTGCTCATACATGCCAAGGAAAAGATTAAATTGTGGTAATTACTTTTTGGGCTTTTGTGAGTACTACTTGGATGATAATGGAGAGAATAATTAAATCGATAATATAACAGTCTTTTTAGCTTCCATCATATTCAATGAATGGTAAATAAAAGCGGTTCTAATGAATGAAGCTAAGCATTGTGATTACATTCACATTTAGAGAATATTGTAGGAGTAAAGTTTCATATATATTTGATTCTAAATTGTGACCATTAGTAATATGGATGAAATGTAAAAGACGAACATAATAAATCTAGCTACTTTATTGTTGATTCAATATAATTCTACTACGAGTCTACGATTTATTTTTGTAAACTAAAGTCGTGAATATGGAATAGTTTAGGCAGCGAGCTGCTTTAAGCTTTGCGAGACCTGATCCTCAATGCAAGCTGAATGTCCTTAGGCATGATAGTAACGCGCTTCGCGTGAATGGCACAAAGATTAGTGTCTTTAAATAAGCCTGCTAAGTAAGCCTCAGATGCTTCTTGAAGGGCAAAAACAGCATGACTTTGGAAGCACATATCAGTCTTCAAATCCTGCGCAATTTCGCGAACCAACCTTTGGAATGGTAGTTTCCTAATCAATAAATCAGTTGTCTTTTGATACTTTCGAATCTCACGAAGAGCAACTGTGCCTGGTTTGTATCTGTGAGCCTTCTTAACTTGTCTGGGGGTTCTAGGTACGGACTTTCGAGAGGGCGAGAGCAAAAGGGCAAGGGCCTGTTGTACTCGTGCGCGCGGTAGGGCGACGTCGTCTGGCCCTAGGAACGGACTCTGGAATTGGAAGGGGAAGAGCGTAAACGCGTGCGTTCATCTTGATAAGAGCCATCTATATGACTGATACGATTTATGTAATGATAATTAGTTTTTTTTTTGGTGTTTAGAGAGCCACAAGGGCAAGTAATGAAAATCGATCCCAAAATCACTTGGAAGCGGGAGGGAGCTCTAACCACTTGAGCTATCCCTCACTCTCATGTAATGATAATTAGTTGCTTTGCTTAATTTTTATATGCAAAATGATTTGTGAGAAATGTATGTGACTAGTAGGGTGGTGCGTTAAGGACTATTTATAGTTTAGCCACCATGATTATAGGTCCACCTCATCAATCCATCTAATGAGATCAATAGATCCTATTGCTCCATCTCATCGATCCAACAATTGTAATCAATGGACCATATAGCTCCACGAGGTTCCACCTCATTAGTCCGCTTATTAATGAATCAACGAGTTGTGTAACGCCATATCATCGATCCATACAAAAATAAAAATTGAAAAGGAACAAAACTTTC